GAGTGGCTCATTGAGTAGTGCAGAAGTGTACAATCCATCTACAGGACGTTGGGCAATTACTGGCACCAGGAACACTGCACGATATCAGCACACAGCATCTATATTGACAAACGGAAATGTGTTAGTTGCTGGTGGACAAGGTGATGGTGATGCCGTATTGAATAGTGCAGAAGTGTTCAATCTATCTACAGGACTTTGGATAACTACTGGCATCGTGAACACTGCGCGAGTCGGTCACACACAAATCACATTGACAAACGGAAATGTCTTAGTTGCTGGTGGACAAGGTATGAGTGGCCCATTGAGTTGTGCAGAAATGTACAATCCATCCACAGGACTCTGGACAACTACTGGCAACATGAACAATGCACGATTAGGTCACACAGCATCCATGTTGACAAACGGAAATGTGTTAGTTGCTGGTGGAATCGCTGATGATAGTACCATATTGAATAGTGCAGAAACATATGGATGATGATGATGATGATTGGAGTGTAATGTTCTTGATTAGTCTGACATTTGCAATGTATTAAAATATTTAATCTTCGATTCTTTCAAAACACTATTATGCCATCAGCACAGAATTCAGTCATTGTTTCTCTCTTCTTTCTGGTGTGTGTCATTAATTGTCACTTTTATCTGCTTTTCTCTCTACTTCATCATTGATATGTGTATTGATCGTTCTCTTATGTACCATTCTCTCTAAATGCATTGTTCTCTTTACTTTTCATCTTCAGCAGCTTCTAGTATTTCTTTTTTCGAGATTTATTCGGGCTTTTTCAATAAACAATAGGCTTTATTTGTTCTATGGGAATTATTACATTTTATCGATGAATTCCTGGATTTATTAGGATTTAGTTTTCGAGATTTATTCGATTTTTTTGTTAAATTTCGGAATTTATTGAATAGCTCTGAAGAAAGAGAGAACTTATTGACAGTTGGTTATCAATTTCAGAATTTGGTTTCATCTGATACAGATTCTCTTTTCATTGATTCATCGCTATAAAAAATATTCTCATCTTTCATAATGAATATCGTTTACGATTCTTAACATAAATACGCTCTATATTATTTGTCTTTTGTTTTGATTATACTGTCTTGAAAATGTGATAACAGACAACGATTTTGAATGAAAGTAGCTGTGTTGAAATTGCCATAAGATTATCTAGAGGAAAAGTCAAATATTTATTGGGCTAGATGTATAATAAAATAACAGTTTTCAAAATATAAATGAAAATTGATACAAAAACATAAAAAATTTACATAAATATGATATTAAGGAGAACATGTCATCAGCAATAATTAAATAGTTTTATATATCATTTATTTTAATTGATTTGAGCTTCATTGAGTCATTTGTAATGTTTCATTATTGAAATATTTTATTTCCCTTAATTGTTTAGTGCATTTTTCCTTTGTTCGGCTCACGTATTGTTGATATTAAGTAATCGAATTCTTTTATTTGTTTTTTTTTTCAATTTGGTTGACAGCAGAGAAATATTAGTATTAGTAATTTTTATCCATCTATTGCTTATATTATTAAAGAAAAAGAAATCCTCTGAGATTTGTATTCATTTGCTTTTACTAGTTAGATTTGATACATCCGTGTTCACATTATTATTAAAAACAGATGGTAACAAAAGCATATCGTCATGAGTACTACGGTAACAAGTTAATAAGTTTTTATAATGAGACAACAATAGAAGATACAAAGGTACTTGTATTCATCCTAAACGACTGACAACTACGAATGGTTATAGTTACCAATTGTTTATGAGTTACAATATTTATTTACCTGGATTAGAATAAGGAGACATGTTTGCTTTACACCAACTTCTACCATGGTTCTTCCGATGACAACAAAAGTGTTGCATATATATTTTAGAGTGAACTCAATTATTCAAATCTAGACAAACCAAAATCGCCATTATTAACGTCTCGATTCATTTCTGACTTCCGACAAGGTGACGAAAAACAATATAAATCCGACATCACATGTCGTTCTTCACCAAACCATATGATTTGAAGCCAATTGGCACATTTTTTTCACAATCTATCGTGAAATTAGCAATATTTGAATTCTTGATAGTGTGGCAGAGTAAATAGTACAAACACCCACAACAACATCCTTATAAAATCACCAAAGGTACCTTTCGATTCAATCGGAATAGGATTGAATATATTGCATTACGTGTAATTTTTTATGATACTTCATTGATTATGTGTTTAATTTATGAATTTTACAAGGAAAACCTTTGCATATAAGTTTTATGTACTATTCTTCTTATATCTATACCAATTATTTTATTCTTTTTATATCTGTTTACAGTTTTATACAAAAGATAAAATTATTTCGTTTTTATTCACACATTTAATTATGTTTATTAACCCTTTCCGGCCGGATGTTGCCAAATGGCAACATTTTTGCCGTAGGGAGGTACGGCATTTTTAAAAAAGTCGGCAGCGAAAAATTGATCCCTATAACTAAACAACAAAGAATATATAGAAAGATAACTTTTTGCTTGTTGTTTTCTGGTAGCTGGCCGTAAAGGGTTAAAAAACTGTCTTCATTCTTAGTTGTAATTTGTTCTTATTTCTTTCTTATCTTTAAAATATTATTTGTGATCTTTCTATTTCTATGATTGTTCTTAGTCTCCATATTTTTTTTGTTTTTATAATTCTAATCTGTTGTAATAACCCTTTGTTTTTTATTGATTTTTTCTTGTTATAGTTGATGGTATTTATATTATTGTTCTGTTTCTGATGCAAGTTTATTGTTATCTATTTATAAAATTGTATTCATAATGCATAACCCTGATGAGTGTTTATGTATTCACGAATAACAGAAAATACATCGGCATGTTAAACTGCATTTGTTTAATTATTAGTTTTCACACTTAGAAAACGCAATCAATCGTTGACAATCAAAAGCTGAGGACAGCAAATTGTGTTTGTCTTCCCTCAAGATAGACAAGTAACGCTCGTCTAAAGACTCGCTCAGCTCTTTTTCGTAGAAATTGCGTTACTACAATAGAATTTATTATTTTATTTTTTATAAGATTATTAAATGATTAATTTACTGTATGAATTTCGATACTTC